GGATGCCCTGAGCATGGCTGGGAGCAACCCCCTCGCCCCCCCCCCCCCCCCCCCCCCCCGCACAGAGCAGGATCGCCTGTGTGTGTTGTAGGGTGTGGTCCCCAAGACAAAACCAAAAGAAAGTTTAAAAAAGAATTAATTGAGGGGGTGGAGCGATAGCACAGTGAGTAGGGCATCATTTGCCTGCACGCAGCCGACCCAGGTTCGATCCCCAGCATCCCATATGGTCCCCTGAGCACCCCCAGAAGTAATTCCTGAGCACAGAGCCAGGAGTAACCCCTGCGCATTTCTGGGTGTGACCCAAAAAGCAAAACATTTTTAAAAATTCAAAAAAAATTAGTGACTCGACCAGACCCCCAGATGATGGAGGAAGCTCCCACCTGCCTTCCGTGGTGGTGGTGGTGGTGGTCGTGGTGGTGGTAGCGCGGAGTGAGGACCAGGAAGGCTGGAGGTTGGCCCCACGCCGCATGGTCAGTCGCGAGCAGCACTGTGACTAGGACCCCGGCTCCAGGCTGTGGGCCCCTCCTGTTTTGTGGCCCTGGGTGTTCTCTGCCCCACACGCAGGCCCAGGGGCTCAGGGGACAGTCTATTGGGGGCGGGGCTACAGTGAAGCGGTCCTGCACCGTGTCCCCCAGCACCGTCCGGTGTGAGCCCCAAACCAAGCAGATCCCACAGGCGGTCCCAGTGGGGGCGAGTTGCCCTGTTCTCTCTGCTCCATATCTCCAGCTCTGCGGCCCCTCGGGGTGGGGGGCGGGGGTGGGGGCGGGCAGCAGAGAACCCGAGGCTCTCACAGAGAAGGGGCACTGGCCCCCAGCGTCAGGCCCGCAGGAGCCATGCCGGGAACTATCACACCCGGCACAGGCCCAGCAGGAAACCAGATTCCAGCCCAGGGGCCTCCCGGGAGCCCAGTTAAGGGGCCATTGGGAGGAGGGGAGACTGGCAGGAAAGACGCACAGAGAAGCAGAGCGAGGCTCAGGGAAGCAGGGAAAAGAGTCAGGGCGCTCGGGGTGGGGGCGGGGGCCTCGAGAGGGGCCTGCCACGGGGAGGGGCTGGGGGGGCAGCCTGCCAGCCAAGTACAGGCGGGGGCAACAGAGAGTGCTGTATCTCGGGCTGCTGCCAGCTGCCCTTGGTGAAGCCCGGTCCAGCCCGGAGACTCCTCCCAGCGGGAGGGTCCGGCGCCAACACTGGCTTGTGGTCAGGGGCACGCGCCCGTCTCCCCTTAGGCTTTTCTGCTTTAGGCTCATTCTTTTTTTATTTTCCCACTGCTCAGAGGTGGCTCCGACTGGGTGCCTGGGACCAGACTGGGGCTTCAGCAGGCAAAGCGGGTGCTGCAGCCCTTCCAGCCCGCTCTGGGTCCCGCCCGCACGTCCCCTCCCTCATGCTAGCAGGAGCCCCCGCCCTGCGCCCCACACTCCGGCTTTGCTCCATTGTTTCCAGTCAACCGTTTAGGAATCAGAGCCCAGCCAGCCCCTTCTTGCTCCGCAGGGCACATCCTGGTCCTGGTGCTGTGTGCAGCTGGGGGAGGGCAGAACTCTCTGGGAGTCACCCAGCCAGCCAGCCCCGAAGCCCCGCAGAGACCTTGATCCAAGTGTGGGCCCACGTGGCCGCAGGCTGGCCCTCCAGTTGCTGGGGTGGGACTTTCCGTCCCTACAGGTGGCCCCTGCCTGGGCACATTCTCAACGAGGAGTGTCCACTGTTTTCCTGAGGTCTCCACTCCCTTGACCACGCTGTCCTGTGCCGGAGTTGAAGGGCCCACAGGGATATGGTCTCTCTTTCCCACTCGGTGTACAGAGGGGAGCTGTGGCGTGAGAGGGGACTCAGGTTGACTGAGGGTCCCACATCCCGGTTCCCTAACTCCCAGCTTGGGAGCCCATGCAGTTGTGGGGGGCTGAGTCCAGCTCCCGCCCCCCAGCCACGCTCAGGGCTGCTGTACCATGTTCCAGTGCAGCCCCTACTCACCCCCAGGCCTCCGCTCCCAAGAGCCGCTCGAGAAAAGCCTTCCCAGGCCAGGTTTGGGGAAGACGCCCCGGTCTGGGTCAGTTCCACCTCAGTCCTCTGCGCCCGCGTCTTTGCCACACCCCGGACTGCTGAGACCAGAACGAGGGGTGCACGGCGACACCATGGTGGGTCCTGAAATGTGGGTTTCCCGGAGAACCCCACATGCCGGAGGGATCCAAGACTGGGAAGACTCAACCTTGCCCTTGGGAACTCTCGGGTTGGTGTATGAGGGGACAGATAGGACCACAGAAGGATCTGCCTTACACTGGGGGTGGGGTGCAACCTGCCCTTTCCAGCTAATAGAATCAGAAATGAGCTCACGTCACTCCTGGCTAGCAAACATTGGAAGCAGAACAGAAGCCCGGAGCCACCGAAGAGAAACACAGAGAGAAACACTGAGCCAAGGAAGAGAAACATGGTATCTCTTGGCATAGTATCTCTGGAACTTCCCTCTTAGGAGCATCTTATGTCAAAAAGATTCTTTCTTCCCTTCCTTCCTTCTTTCCTTCCTTTCCTCTGTCTTTCTTCCTTTTTTCCTTTCCTTTTCTTTCCTTTTATTTATTGTTTGTTTGTTTGTTTGGGGACTGGAGCGATAGCACAGTGGTAGGGCATTTGTCTTGTGTGCAGCCAGCCTGGCTGAGCCGGGTTCAATTCCTCCACCCCTCTCGGAAAGACTGGCAAGCTATCGAGGGTATCTTGCCCGCATGGCAGAGCCTGGCAAGCTCCCTGTGACATATTCAATATGCCAAACACAGTAACAAGTCTCAAAATGGAGACATTACTGGGCCTGCTCGAGCAAATCGATGAACAACGGGAGGACAGTGTTTGTTTGTTGTTTGTTTGGGGGCCACACAAGGCAGCCGTACTCTGTGCTTACTCATGGCTCCGTATTAATCGCTCCTGGTGGGCTCAGGGGACCATATGGGATGGCAAGAATTGAACCTGGGTCAGTCCCATGCAAGGCAAACGCTTCCCCCCCACACACACACCGCTTACCAGTTCTCCACTCCCAAGTATTCTTTTATTTCTGCAATTTGTGTGTTGGGGGATGGGACACATGCAGTGGTGCTTGGGGGAGGCACATACAGGTGGTACTCCCCGTTCTGTGCTCCAGCATTGCTTCTGGTGAGGCTTGGCTGTTCAGGTTACCCCACCTGAGCCTCCTGCACACAGAGCACGCATCGGCCCTTTGAGCCAGCTCTCTGGCCCCAGCCTCAGTTTATTTCAGGCAGGAAAGCGGACCAGGTCATCACTGCATGGCCTTCCACTTGCCAGACGAGCACTTTCAGCCTGAGTAGCAGTCTAGGGCCCGTGGCCTCCCTCGCCTGGTTTGTTTCCCAGAGCCTCTCACCAGCCCTAGGCTGGCTCCCACTTCCTTGTTCACACGGGCAGCAGCCACGCCAGGCCAACCCCGGCATAGTCACACACTGACTTCCTTGTGTCCTTTGGGTCAAGTTGCAGAAACAGGATGGCAGGGTCACCTGCCAGCAGGTATCTGAAGACCTGCCAAAGATGTGTCCAGAAAACTTTACCTCCAGCAAGCTTTGAGAAAGACTGTTTTCCCCTGGAGGAGGCAGAAGGAAGCTCTCTTTTGGTGGGGGGCAGGGGTGGGGGTGTATACTCAGGAGTGCTGAGGAAATACGCCTGGCTTGGTGCTTGGGGGGTTCATTCCCAGTAGTGCTCAAGGGTCTACAGGGTACCGAGGACCAAACCTGGGGCTCCCGCAAGAGTCTCCCGAATCTAGCCTGTTGAGTTTTCCCTGACCCCAGCAGATTATTTGTTTGTTTGTTTGTTTGCTTGTTAATAAAATGTCCATCCTGGAGTGATAAACTGGACAAGCTGGCAGGCTACCGAATATAACCTGCCCACACGGCAGAGTCTGGCAAACTCCCTGTGGCGTACCCAATATGCCAAATACCAGTAACAATGATGGGTCTCATTCTCCTAAGCCTGAAAGAGCCTTGAATATGGCACTTTTTAAAATCTCAGGGCTAGGACAAAGGAGACGTTACTGGGGCCTGCTCGAGGCAATCGACGAACAACAGGATGGTTGTGATCGTGATCGTGATTGGAGTGATAGTCCAGCGGGTAGAGTGCTTGCCTTGCACACGGCCAAACCAGGTTTGATCCCTGACACACCATGTGGTCCCCTGAGCCCCACCAAAAGTGGATCCTTGCCGCGTCCGGCGTCATAGGGCCGAGCCAGGGGAGGGCCGTCAGGGTGAAATCAGCACTCGAGTCACACAGGGTTCCGTCATTCAGGAGATGGCATGAATGCATGCGTGCGTTTATTCAGAGCACAGGTACAGACTTAAGTATGTTTCCACAACCCACCCAAAAGAAAGGAAAAGGGAATGGGACGTGGGAAAGTGGATGGGACGATGAATAGAGCCATGCACCGTTGGTCAGCCACCTGGTGACCCTTTTGACCTAATGCTACTGGTCAGAGCGGCCTGCTTTGTCACGGTTTTGACATATCCATAGAGACTATGTTGTTCCTCATACATCATTTACAAATCATTTACGAGGGTGCATTTTCCCCAAACTGAAACCTCCTGTACTGGGAAGTTGCGCAGCTTTGAGCAGGACAAAGGGGGAATGAAAAATCAAGCCTTCTTTGACTTGGTCAGTAGGCAACAGGTCCTGAGCACGGCTCAGGTGTGGCCCCCAAACCAAACAAACCAATCAAAGGATAAAGTGGAGGAAACGTGGCTTTGCCTCCCAGCTCTGCCTTTGCTGGGCTTGTACTCCTGAGGGCGAGGCATGCCCCTGAGAGCCTCAGCCTCTCCGTTTGTGAGGCAACGCCTCTGGGAAGTGAAAAGACAGAGAGAGTGACCCGGGAGCCAGGCCAACCTACCTGTGACCCAGTGTGGTCACCCCGGACTTTTCAGAAAGGATCATGACCCGGAGGGTGTCGCAAGGCTCCCGTCACTGCCCCTCCCCTTCTCCACGCCCCGCCAGGCACTCCCCCTCCCGCTTCTTCCGCGGCCTTATGAGGGAACTGGCCTCCTTGGGTTCCAGAGCTGACGTCCCCGCTGGGAGCAGGATGGAGGCCTCTCTGCTCCTGGCATTGGTGCTCATGGCCACTCCATGCGTGCTGGGTGCCAGCCCCGGCCTGGCTGCCAGGATTACCAACCAGGGCCTGGAGTACGGTGAGGAGCTGCAGCCTTGGCTGGGCTCAGCCCACCTGGCACGGCCTGTTTGAGGGGTGCCGGGCAGCACAGCCAGCTGTCTCCCTCCTGGGGGGTCGGGAGGGGGTGTGGGCAAGGACTGACTCAAACCCTGTGACCCGGGGCCTTGCCTGGCCGAGCTGGGTCTCCCACTAGCCAGCTGACTTCAGGTGCATGTTAGGGACTTGGGGGGGGGGGGTTGATTCCAGGAACTCCTTCCTCCAGGAGCGGGGGCGGGGGGAGTCAGGAAAGAGAGCTAGCAAAGGAGCATTGTTAAACCAGCTACCTGTTCAGTATCTGGAATATTCCGCAGGAACATTTTTTAGTCGTTTGAAATCACAAGCCTAAAATTCAAAGTCAGATGGAGGTCACCTGCAGGGACAGGTGGGGACAGAGAGGGGCATGGGGGGGGCACAGGGGTGCGGGGGCAGGTGGGGACGGGGAAAGGGGCCGCACGCAGGGGCCGCTGGGATGCTAAGAATCTGCTGTTACCTGGTGGTGCTTCCATGGGGGAAATGTGGTTTAAAATGCAAAATTAGGGGAGTCAGAGAGATAGTACAACAGTTAAAGCCCTTGCCTCACACGTGGCCAAGTCCAGTTCCATCCCCGGCATCCCATAGGGTCTCCTGAGCACCACCAGGAATGATCCCTGAGCACAGAGCTAGGAGTAAACCCTGAGCACTTGCTGGTGTGGCTGAAGGGAAAGACAGACTTTGGGTCCGGGGGCTGGCTGGGCAGATGGCAGCACATGCTGACACGGTTCATCCTGCTGCACTGAATCAGACAACACTCTCCCTTTCTTCCTCCGCGCCGTGTGACCGAGCCGTGCAGAGTTAGCTAAGCGATGTTCTCAAGTTGCAGATTCTGGTCCTTCCCATAGTTCGCGGAGTCTAAGCCGGCTGGGGAGCTCGGGGCACCTACCCAAGTGCCCGCTGACTTGGCAAGCACCAAGCAAGTAGCACCAGGCTATCTGTCCACCTGTTTCCTCCTGTCCTTCTGCCCCACCTCTCTCGGCAAGCAGAACCTCCTCCGTCACTGTCCAATGTGTGGAGAGAGGGAGCAGGCACTGTGGGTTTGCTCCAGGTCACCGGCTAGAGAGATGACCTCGCCAGGATCCTGTCCCTCAAAAGCAGGAAAGAGGACCCACCGCAACCCCCCCGCCGCACCCCTCTCTGGGAAGGCGTGCTGCCTCCTCACCCCTTCCTGGGTGGAACGAGCCCACCCTGGGCAGGCGGCTGCTCCCCTCACACAGAAGGTGCAGAGCCTATAGCTGTGGCTGGCCAGAGCAAAGGGACAGCCTGTCCCCCAGGGCTGGGGTGCTGAGGGAGGGTGCAGAAGGGGGAGAGAGAGACCAGTGTGGGGTGGGGGTGGGAGGTACTGACTCCCTGCTCTTGGCTGTCGCAGTGGCGGCGAAGGGCCTAGAGGCTCTGCAGAAAGAGCTGTACACAATCACGCTGCCCGACTTCACTGGGGACTTCTTGAAGAAAGGACACTATGAATTCCACAGGTGGGTGCCCTTCTGCCAGGGCGGGAGAGGGATCCATGTGGGGGAGGGGGGTCTCCGGAGTGGGAAGGAGGGCGGGGGAGGAATCCCGGGAGCATCTCTCCTCTGTCCAAAGGGAGGGAGCCACAGCGCCACGGAGCACAGAACAGGTCTAACCGAGCAGAGAGAGCCGAGTGCCCGCCATGGTCACACATGCAGGGGGCAAGGGGTTGGGGGAGGACCCCTGGGCGCAGCAATCACCAGGCTCGATCCTCAGAGGTCAGTGGAAGCTTCAAGGGGGACTGGACACCTCCCCGGTTCAAGCAGAACATAGGAATCCAGATGGACGCACCCTGTGACCGGAGGAGGCTCAGTATCCCCATTTGCTAAGGGTGTGTGACACACTTCCCTCCTGGGGGGATCAGACAGGCTCTGGCCTGGCTGCGGGATGTGGTCTCAAAGGCGAGACCCCCCCCCCCAATAGAGTAGCCCGACTGTTAAGGCTGAGGTTTAGGCATCGGGGAAGTCCGGCGGCCATCCCGGAGGGGGCGGCCCCTGATCAGAGTCTTCAGAGGATCCTTCGTTGCGGCCCTCAGAGGGACAGGCAATGGGCGCGGGAATCCCCCTCATCCTCACCCAATGATTGCTTCATTCCTTCCCTCTCTTGTTCGGGCCCCAGCAAACATTTATTGAGTAACCAGCTTGTTAGAAGTTGGCTCTTGACCCATCTTTGCCCAGGAGGTGGCCCCACGGTCTGTGTCCCCAGGGCTGGAACCCAGAGGGGTGTGTCTCTGGCTCTACTCCAGGTGACCCTCATCCCTCACAGTCCTGCGAGCTTCTATCCTCTGTCCAAAGGGACCAAAAATTAGCGCCGAACAGAGCAGAGAGATCAGAGCACTCAGCTGTGGCCACTGGCGGGGATGGCCAAGAGCTGGCGTAGAGCAGACTGTGCTGGCCCCTGGTGACCTGTCGTTGCGTCTCTGTCCCCAGCCTGAGTGTCCAGAGCTGTGAGCTGCGCCACTCTGCCCTCACACCCCTCCCCGGCCAGGGTCTGAGCGTGTCCATCTCCGACTCCTTCTTCAGCGTCCAGGGCAAGTGGAAGATACGCTTGACTTTCGTGTAAGTGGACACTGTCCCACACTGTGGCCTCGCCCATGGCCTCTGTCCCATCTTCCCAGGGCTCACCAGCATGGCCGCAAGGTGGGCAGAAGGACTCAAAGCCCCGAGGGGAGGGCAGGGTCCGAGTCCTGGCTCTGGACCATCTCTTGCCTGATGGGCAGCGGGTGGGGGCGGGGAGACCACAGTGCACCTTCCCGTGAGGCGTCCCTAGCCCAGATGCCAAGGCCAGGTCCATCCGGGAAACCCCTGGGAAGGCGAGGGTGAGGGGGATGGGAGGGTAGGCACAGGCATGGCAGAGAGGATGAGGTGCCCTGACAACATCTCAAAGCCTGGCACTGCCAGGAGTGGCCCCTGAACCCCTCTGGGTGTGGCCCCAGAGCCAACCCGCCCCATCCCCCCCGAAGACAAAGGTCTGTTCAGAAAAACTTCGGACAACCCAGGAGCATTAATAACTGGACCCAGAATTTCTTGCTGGTCTTTCATTTGGGGGTGGGGACTCCCCAACAGTTCTCTGGGGTCCAGAGGCCATCGCTAGATATTCTGGGTCCAGCTGTGAGGGCCTCATGGTTCTTGATCCAATGACATGAGACCACGGTGTGGGGGATGCGGGGGACCTCTACACACAGACCATGGCAGAGCACACGTGGGCTGAGCACATGTGTCGCCCGCATCTCCCCTCTTGAGATGTGGACTTTCATGCTTTTGTGTCTAATGCTGGGATGTGTGTAGTGTTCTCTCTCTCTCTCTCTTTCTCTCTCTCTCTCTCTCTCTCTCTCTCTCTCTCTCTCTCTCTCTCTCTCTCCCCCCTACACACCTTCAAAAAAACCTCCAAATAAAATCTGTTTTACTTCACTGCTTGTCTACTCCTGAAAGTCTTTTCTGTGAGGTGAGACAAGAACCCAGTAACCCTGCGTCCTGGGTGGCAGAGGCGGATTGGGAGAAAGTGACCGTCTTTCTCCTCCCTACTTCATATAAGTCACCCGTGGGGCCCACCAACATCAGTTTGACAACCACAAACTTTCTCCACATACTATCGTCTTTTTTTTTTTTTTATGGAGGGGAGCTTTTTGAGTCACACCTGGGAATGCTCAGGGCTTACTCCTGGCTCTGGACTCAGGAGTCACTCCTGGCAGTGCTCAGGGAACCATATTGGATGCCGGGGATCCAACACAGCTCGGCTGTGTACAAGACAAATGCTCTACTGCTGTGCTACTGCTCTGGCCCCCAGTCTCTCTTCCCTCTCTTCCATTCTTTCTTCTTTTCTTCCTTTTTTCTTTCTCTCCTTCTTTGCTTTCTTTCCTTCTTTCACTCCCTCTCTCCCTCTTTCCTTTCTTCTCTCTTCTTCCTCCCTCCTTTCTTCCATTCTATTCCTTCCTTCCTTCCTTCCTTCCTTCCTGCCTTCCTTCCTTCCTTCCTTCCTTCTCTCCTTCCCTCCCTCCTTCCCTTCCTCCCTCTCTCTCTTTCTCTCTCCCTTCCTTCCTTCCTTCCTTCCTTCCTTCCTTCCTTCCTTCTTTTCTTCCTTCCTTTCTTCCTTCCTTCCTTTCTTCCCTCCCTCCCTCCCTCCCTCCCTCCCTCCCTCCCTCATTCATCTCTCCTTCCCTCCCTTCCTCCCTCCCTCCCTCCCTCATTCGTCCCTCCCTCTCTCTTTCCCTTCCTTCTTTCCTTCCTTCCTTCCTTCCTTCCTTCCTTCCTTCCTTCCTTCCTTCTTTCTTTCTTTCTTTCTTTCTTTCTCACTCCCAGTGCTGCTCAGGGCTTAATCCCAGCTCTGTACTAATCCTAATCCTGATCACTCCTAGCAGGACATGGGGAACCATATGCAGTGCTGGGAATCAAACCCTTGTACAGTGTCAGGGAGCAGAGCCTCGTGCAAAGCAAGTGCCCGCCCACTGTACTATCTCCCCGGCCCTTTTCTTCATCTTTTATGTTCTTATATGTCATACGCCTTTGCTTTATTATGAACCTTGATGCCCTTCTTAGAACTCAGTTTTGGGCTCGACTCTAGTCATTTTTTCTGGAAAGAATTGAAGAATATTTCCCTCCACCTGCGTCCCCCACCCAGCAGGGCAGGTCCTGGTCTGGGACTCACGTCGTTCTTCTCATCTCCTCCAGGAAAGCTCAGGGCTCCTTCGAGCTCCAGGCCAATGGCATCAGCATTTCCTTCACCCTCCTCCTGGGCAGGGACCCCTCCGGGAGGCCCACGGTCTCTGCCACCACCTGCAGCAGCCACATCCGCGATGTGGACGTGGACATGCCAGGGAGCCTACGGTAGGTCACCCTGGGTCGGGACTCAGGCCAGCCTGTCTCCTGGCCACCGCTCCTGCCCCAGGCCTCAATAAGCATGGGCTCCTGGTGGAACGTGACCCTGTCACAGACACGTGAGGGCAGGTTTCTGGGGGACCTGTTGAGATGAGCCTGGGGCCATTCTACCAAAAACCGGACTTCGGGCCAGAGAGTTTGACAAACAAGGTATATGGCTGACCTGGGGTCCACCATCCCATGTGGTCCCCACATACCTTCAGGTGTGATCCCTGAGCGCAGTCAGGAGCGAAGCCCTCGCACTGCCATATGTGACCCCCAAACCAAGAAACAAAAAGCCCAAACAAAAAGCAGACTTCAAAGCAGCCCATCAGACAATAAAACCAAAGAACCCAAAGGCTGGGGGCCAGATGAGAACAGGGTAGGAATATCTGAGACTTTGGACTGGTCTCGGAAGTTCCTTCCTCAGAAAAACTTGGGCTCAGTTCAATCAGCTTAATCAATGGCTGAATAAACAGCAGTACCGGGGCTGGAGCGATAGCACAGTGGGTAGGGTGTTTGCCTTGCATGCAGTCAACCTGGGTTCGATTCCCAGCATCCCCAAGCACTGCCAGGAGTAATTCCTGATTGCGTGAGCCAGGATTAAACCCTGTGCAAGCAAAATAAATAAATAAATAAAACTAAAATAAATAAATAAATAGCAGTACTCCTACATTTAAAAAAAATTGGGGCTCTAAAACCCTCCCCCAAACATATCCACCTTAATGGTGGGCTGCTCTGAACGGTGAATGTTCTGGGAACTGGCACTAGAAGAGTGACATAGCAGGGCCCCAGGACACGGGTCTGGCCAAGGTCGGGCAGCCTCCTCAGCCTGGCGGTTCTCTCGGCCCTTTCCAGGTGGATGCTGGGCGTCTTCCACGACTACATCGAGTCCAAGTTCCGAAGAGAGACAGAGAGCAAGGTAAACAACCCCGGCCTCTCCGCTGCATTTGCCCTCCTGGTCAGCCAGAGCAGTGCTCACACTGACCTCTGGCCCAGCTGGGCTGTGGGGACTGACCCAGATCCACCTGGACTCAAAGCCCAGGGAGGTCAAACCTTTCGTTCAAGGTCACAGAGACGGCGTGTGGCAACATGTAGGTCTCTGAGCTCTGAGTCTGTCCAGGTAGGCTGGTTCCATGCTTGGCCCAGGGCGAGGGGAGCTGTGTCCCACCCGGAAATGATGTGAGAACTCAAAAGTTGTTGGTTTTTTGGTTTGGTTTGGTTTTGAGGCACTGTGATTTATACTACTGTCATGCTAGATCTCCATGTGTTCTAACACCCACCCACCACCAGTGTCCACCTCCTTCCACCAGTGTCCCCTGACCCCCTTGGTAAACTCAGTTTGCAGACCCTCACCTGTAGCCAGTTGTTATGCTTTTGCTATCTTTCTTTCTTTCTTTCTTTCTTTCTTTCTTTCTTTCTTTCTTTCCTTTTTTTTCTTTTTGGGTCACACCCGGTGATGCACAGGGGTTACTCCTGGCTCTGAACTCAGGAATTACTCCTGGCGGTGCTCAGGGGACCATAGGGGATGCTGGGAATTGAACCCGGGTCGGCCGCGTGCAAGGCAAACGCCCTCCCCGCTGTGCTATCACTCCAGCCCAGCTATGTTTCTTTATGTTCCACAGATGAGACCACTCGTTACTTGTTCCCCTCCTGCTGACTGAGACCTGGGACCCTCTGGTTCCATTCATGTAGCAGCCACTTCCTCTTTGAGTTTATTGAATCACCGTGAGATACAAAGTTAGAAAGTTGTTCATGATTGAGTGGCAGTCATACAGCGTCCGAGCACCTGTCCCTTCACCGGTATCCACTAACCTCCGCCAATCGCCCAGTTTCCCTCCCAACCCCCAGCCTGCCTCTGTGGCAAACACTTGACTTCTTTCTTTTTCCCTTTTGGGCACTGTGACTTGCAGTACTGTGTCTGAAAGGGCACCATGCACATCATGTTACCTCCTTGCAGCACCCACTTGTGATCCAGAGTGATCACTTCCCCCTATCATTGTCATAATGGTCCGTTCTCTGTCCTAACTGCCCTCCCCACATTGTGGCAGGATTCCTGCTAAGGACCGATTCTCCTGCCCTTTGTTTTCAATGACTTTGGGTACTATTCTCCTACTGTGTTTCTTTATATCCTGCAAATGATCGTACTATGTCTGTCCCCTTCTCCCACCGTCTCATTTTACTCAACGTGATACTCTCCATGTCTATCCGTGTACCAGCAAATTTCATGACTTGTTTTAGGATTCTGGGCTAAAACAAAAAGGCTTTGTGTTAACTTTTGGTTTTCCCAACATGATTCCATTTCTGGAGTAGTGTCTGTAGCCGTGACTGTACTTGGGAAGGAGGAATGTAATGAAGGAGGACAGAAACACACACACACACACACACACACACACACACACACACACACACACACACTCACATCCTGATTGACTTTGAGTGCCCCCTGGTGATGTAATCAGAAATAGCAGGAAGCCAGCACTAGAGGCCAGATAATCTTTCTGTTCCTTTTTTTGCTGGGATTGAAACCCTGCACCTTACATGTTCCCCAGAGCCCACCCAGGAGTGATTGGGCTGAGCACAATTCCTAACTTTGCACTCAGGAATCACTCATGGCGGTACTCAGGGGACCATATGGAATCCTGGGAATCGAACCTAGGTTGGCTGCATGCAAGGCAAACGCCCTACCTGCTGTGCTATCACTCCAGCCCCTCTGCCTGTTCTATTTTTAGCTTGTCCTTAGAATGAAAGCTCCTCAACAGAGCCTTCTGTAACCCCTGGAGGCTAAGACCCTCGATCCCATGCTCCAGAGGATCCCCCCATCCCCATCTTCCGTGGGCACGTGGGTCTGTCAGCAACACAGATGGTAACTGGTTTATCAAACCTCTGTTGAAAATGAGAATTCAACACACACACACACACACACACACACACACACACACACACTCAAAGACAACACTGACATAGCAATTCCATGTTTTCAGAGGCAGCAAATGTGAATTTTTGTGTCATCTCTTGACCAAGGGTCCAAAAATGGTCTGGGGTCGGTGCCACACTCTCTCGGGCATGAAACACGGAGATGCTGCAAATCCCAGCTCAGCCCTCTGTAACCTCAGTGAAGATGTAGATACATTTGCAAAGCCATCCCAGGCCAGCATCCTGCCGGATGCGTGATTTCTTCCTCCTAAGCTATTCTTGTCCACACCAAAATGAACAGCCTTAGGCTTCAAGTAACTCGCCCTTCCAAAGCACTTACATGCTCATGGAAGCAATTCTTTTTTCAGTCATATCTCAGTGGTTTACCCAGTAAATAGCCAGGGTGATCACAATAACAAATAGAGCAAGCCAGCTTGAACGGACACATTTCCTTTTCATGAGAAGCAGATGTGACTTCCGTGTGCGGCCCAAATTGTGTGGCTGCTGAATGCATCAATGGTGCTGTGATTTGTGTGGTTTTAAGTGCTGCTCTCCTGGGGGTGGGGTTGGGGAAGTGTCTCACATGGGGGGAGGCGTGTGTCATAGCACTGAGCTCTCTCTCCAGCCCCCTTGTGCTGCTTTTCACCTCTCAACTCTGGAGACCGAGACCAGGACCTCCCCAGAGCAAAGTCTCCCAGGATGGAGGTGGAGGATAAGCCTCCAGCAGGCCCCTTTACCCAGCCCCTCTCAAGTGGCCCCTGAGAGCCACTTTTAGAGGACCCCAGTTTTTGTCCTTTGTTTTCTTAGCATGGGCATGAGAGAAGCCCTCACCAGTGTCTGCTCATGATTTCAATGAAATCACTGGCAGCCTCGTGCCAGCCCAGAGCCGGGAATTCACTTGGCCTCTGTCTCCTGTCATTTTCCAGATTTGCGAAATGGTCCAGAACTCAGTGACCTCTGATCTACAGCCATATCTCCAAACTCTGCCAGGTAGGACACCCCTTCCACTCCCGAATAGTTTGTTTCTCGTAATTTCTGTGAGGACATGCATTCTGTGTGAAATATTGAGCAGGACAGAGTGCCAGTGAAAAATAGGAGGTTCTCTTTTTGCCTCTAGTTTTCTTTCAAGGTAGGGTGTTTGCTTTCATAGGCTCTGTTGCACCTCCAAAGATAGAGGTAAGAATTCACATCTGTCGTCCTTTTAATGTAGTGCGTCGTTGTGAAAAAAATGTAAATCTGCAGAGAATGAACATGTTTTTTTGTACGTTGTACACTTGACATCTTTCCAAATCAGCGCACTTTTTTCCAAAGCTTAAAATGTTGAAAAATTTCCCAGTTTTACTGAGACCTAGGATCACATATAGCATTGAGTAAGTTAAAGGTGTTAACTATGTTGATTTGATGCGCTTATATGTTACTCCTTATGTGATTACTATTGCGGTATTATCAAATTCCTCTACCCATCTTTTAATTGCTTTTTGTGACTAGAACATTTACGATCTGTTCATCCAAGTCCATAAAACAGTGTCGATGCTGTTTACAATTTTGCGTATGAGATCCTCAGAGTTATCCTTCATCTAACTGGAAGTTCGTATGCTTTCACCATCCTTGTTACATTTGTCAGGATTTTCTCCTTTCTCATAGCTGGATATTTCACTTCACATATTTCAGTCTTCTCCTTTCATCGGTTGACTCACAATTCTGGTGTTTTCCTATCTTGGCTATTGTGAATAATGCTTCAGTGCTCTTGAGATACAGCTCTTCGATATCCTGTTTTAACTTCCTCTAGATGCATACCCAGAAGTGGGATTGCTGTATCACAGGGTAGCTCTATTTTTAGTTTTTTGATGAACTTCCTACTATTTTCCCATGGTAGCTGCAATCCACCAATTTACAAACCCCTCCCCCTGCAGCAGTGCGCAAGCCCTTTTTTTTTTTCTCTCTGCATCTTCAATGACATTTTCCTGGGTCTTTAGTATTTCATATAGACATCTAGTAGGTGTGTGACGATATCTCACTGTAGCTTAGTTTGATATTTCCCTGATGGTTAGTAATGCAAAGTGTCTTTTCCTCTCCCTTTTGGCTATCGCTATGTCTTCCTTAGGAAAATGTCTCTTCTGATCATTTATTTAGTGAGAAGGCCAGCTTTTTTGGTCATAGTCTATTTATTTTATTCAAATGATGTGCCACATTTATTGACTTACATATGTTTGAACCATCCTTGCATTCCATGGATAAATCCCACTTGATCATGGAATATGATTGGGGAGGGTTCTTTGTGGGGGAAAGCCACACCTGGCAGAGCTCAGGGCTTATTTCTGGATCTATGCTCAGGAATCACTCTGAAAGGTGCTCAAGAGACCATATGGGGTACTGGAATTGATCCTGGGTTAGTTGCATGCAGGGCAAACACCACACCCACTATACTATCATTCCGGCCCTAGAATATGATCTTTTAAATGTCTCTTTGAATTGTGTGTGCTGGGAGTTGATTAAGATTTTTCATCTTTTCTTATGGAGAGTATTGGTCTGTCACTTTTCTTTCACCTGGTATCAGACTAGCTTTGGTGTCTGGGCAATGCTATCAGGTAATGCCAATATTATAAGATAATTTGGCAGTATTCCTTTCATTTCGGTGTTTTGAAGAGTTTGAAAAGAATTTGGCATCAATTCTCCTGAAAATGTTAGTGAAACCATTTGATTCTGGGCTTTCCTTTATTGGGAATTTTTTTTTATTAATGCTTCAGTTTCCTTACTTTTTATTGCTTTGTTCATAGTCTCTATTCTTGATTCGGTATTGGTAAATCATGTTTTTCTAGAAATAGTAAATTTTTCCTAGGTTCTCCAGTTTCTTGGCATAGCAGTCACTTTTGATCCTGTGTATTTCTGTGGTATCAGTTGGAATCTCTCCTTTTTGGTTTCTGGTTTTACTTGTGTCTTCTCTCTTCTTTCCTTAGTCTAGCTAAATTTTTCTCAGTTTTGCTTATTTTTCAAAAGCTCCATTTTGTTGATCTTTGTTTTTCTGTTCTCTATTTCATTTGTCTCTGCTCTGATCTTTACTTCCTTCCTTCTACAAATTTTGGGCTTAGTTCTTCCTTTTTTTCAGTTTTTTGAAGAATAATGTAGTTTGCTTATTTTAGAGATCTTATCTTTACCTTAATAAAATTATTTATCCCCTTCAACTTTCATATTAGAGTAACTTTTTTGCAATATCCCTTCACTTCAGCTCTTTCGTATTTTCATTTGTCTTGGAATGTGTTGGGAGGAGGGCCATAGTTCCCTTTTGATTTTTCAAACCTATTTGTTGTCAGGGATGTATAAATTTTCACGTATTTGCAAAATTTTCAGCTTCCTTCTCGATGTTGAGCTTTAGTTTCATACCACTTGGTCAGAAAAGATACGTGACATGATTCCACTCTTCTCGAATTCACTAAAACTTATTTTTTGTGTTCTGGAGAATATTCTGTCAGTGCTCTCACATTGTCCTTATTCTCATAAAAATTTTAATTGAAGCTTCCATATAGAGAAAATTACCCAAATCCTCAGGGTACAGATGAAATAGGTTCACAAACTGAGCCATGCTGGTACCAGATCCTAAATCAGAACCCAGAACGCCAGTGGTCTTTCCAGCCTCCTCTGTGCCTTCATCTGCCAATCATTCCCCAACTTCTACCAGCAAACATTAGTTCTGTACTTTGCACATGAATGGAACCACACAGGAGTCAAAGTTTTTTACTGGAAGCAGAAGGATTTCTTCGTTTGACTTGACCATGTAAGGTCGATCCATGGTGCTGTGTGCACGTGGTGCCTGCACCCATCCTCCTTGCTGTGGAGGATCCCTCTGTGGAAGCGTTTTTTTTTTTTTTGAAGTCTCATTATGTCATCTTATTTATAATTGTATTTTATTTTGTGGTTTCAGGCCACACCCAGTGCTGTTTGCTTATGGGCTATTCCTTCTTTTTTCTTTTTTGGGTCACACCCGGCGATGCTCAGGGGTCACTTCTGGCTCATGCACTCAGGAATTACTCCTGGCGGTGCTCGGGGAACCATATGGGATGCTGGAAATTGAAACCGGGTTGGCCGCATGCAAGGCAAATGCCCTACCTACTGTACTATCGCTCCAGCCCCCTGTGGAACCGTTTTTAACTCAGTCTCTAGTGACGGCCGTGTGGGGAGTTTCTGTTCTAGACTTTTACGAGGAATGTCACTGTGGACACACTAGCACATACGGATACATGTCTGTGGCTGACGACCTAAAGCTGAAGGTCTAAAGCATCCCATGAGACACCCCAGGACAGCATCATCAGGTCTTACCAGTTTCCCAAAGTGACTCCATTTTAACGGCTGCAGGGTCTTCTGCCACATGGACTTGTCTCCACTAGTGTCCTTTGCTACTGCCCATAGTGGGCAGGGGACCCTCATAGATCTTCCTCCTCCTCCTTCACACATCTTAGCACGTCATTAGACAATCTGCCAGTGAAGGCCCAGGATCCAGGATGCGCACATAAAGTTGGCAGGGATCGTTCCTGACAAATTGTCAGGCACACTCCTCTGCCTTGGTCCCTGCCCCACTCCCTGTCCCTGCAGGGGAGGTCCTGGCAGGCACAGAGACTCAACAGTGCTTAAGTCACAGAACCCACCTTCCTCCAGGGCTCTGGAGGGGCGTGAGGGCCTGCGGACACACCTCCACCTCTACAGTTATGCCGTAGGTATTCATTGAAGGCTTGTTTCCTTGAAGAACAAGCCTAAGTTAGCATGAATCTCCGGGTCTGAAGGAGCTACCAAACCTGGACTCTGCTCTCCCGTGTGTGTGTGTGTGTGTGTGTGTGTGTGTGTGTGTGTGTGTAAAACCCCCCAGGTCCTCATGTGGAGCATACCTGCCTACCTCCCCCCACCTCATTACCAGTCCAGTGTGATGAGAAGAGCTGTGTTATCTCTTTCTGAATAAATGGCCTCCACAGGGGGCTGAGCTGGGTGGAAACAGAGGGCCAGGGGGCTTGGAAGACAGCTGTGGAGTGAATGTCTCAGGCTGAGCCCTCATCCCTTCTCCATCACCCTGTCCCTAACCCCACAGTCACAGCAGAAGTCGACAGTTTTGCCAGTATCGACTACAGCCTAATGGAGGCGCCTCGGGCCACAGACCGCTCTCTGGATGTGATGTTTAAGGTGAGGGTCCCCCACCGAAACTTCTGGGTGGTAGGTCTGTGTGGCAATTCCTCAATTCCAGCCCCCTTTAGGGCTCCCCCTCTGTCCCTGCTGTCCTCTCTGTCCTTATCTCCCCATGCTTTAAGCTGTTAAGGGCAGGATGAGATGGGGTGACAGGGAAGAGTGTGTCCAGAGATAGAGGTCTCCCCTGGGCAGAGACTCACAACTCTGATCTAGAAATTTCCACTCCCTTTCCTCCCCTCTGATACAGGTGAGGTCAGTCAGAGCTGGCCCTGGGTGGTGTAGAAGACCAGGCTGCTCAGTCCCAAGGCTTCATCTACCAAAGCTTTGGAGGGAAATTTTCATTAAGGGCTATGAATGTGGGACACTTTAACCCAAAGGAAAAAGTCTCCAAAGGTCGTTTCAGGCTGTATAGTTGGTCTGTTGCCTCATATCCGGCTGTTGAAGGACTACCTGGCCAGGCTAAAATGTTCTCTTTCTCTTTACATACAAGTGGTACTACATGGAAAATATCATGCTAAGCGAAATAAGTCAGAAAGAGAGGGACAGACATAGAAAGATTGCATTCATCTGGGGAACATAAAGTAACAAAATAGGAGAGTAACACCCAAGAATGGCCAAGATTAGTACCAGGAGGTTCACTCCATGGCTTGGAGGCCAGTCGCACACACTAAGGGAAAAGGCAGCTCAGATAGAGAAGGGAGCACCAAGTAAAGGGTGTTGGGAGGATCCTCCCAGGATGGGAGATGCATGCTGAAAGTAGACTATAGACGGAACACGATTGCCACTCAATGCCTCTTTTGCAAACCACAGCACCCAAAAGGAGAGAGAACAAAAGAGAATGCCCTGCCACAGAGGTGGGGTAGGAAGGGGGATTGGGGGTAGGAGGGATACTGGGATCACTGGTGGTAGAGAATAGGCACTGGTGGAGGGATGGATACTCGATCATTGTATAACTGAAACCCAAGCACAAAAACTTGTAAGTCTACAACTGTACCTCATGGTGTTTCACTAATAAAAATAAAAATAAAAAATAAAAAAAAGTTATTTTTCTCTCGCCAGGGAGAATTTTTTAACCCTGGTCACCGCAGCCCAGTTCCCTTTCTTGCTCCTGCCATGAGCTTTCCTGAGGAGTACAACCAAATGGTCTACTTCACCATCTCTGATTACGTCTTCAACACCGCCAGCCTGGCGTACTACAAGGCCGGCTACCTGAACTTCACCATCACGGATGACAAGGTATGTCACAGAACAAAGCCAATGACAACGGTGTCTGTTTTTCCTTTTTATCTTTCCTTTCCATCTCCGTCATACTCATGAAATAGTGACTTGTAACTGAGGGGGGAAGATCAAGGCCAGGAAAGAATACAATTAGTGCAATTTCCCTTTTCTCCTTGGCTTCTGAGAAGCCCTGAGTCAAAGCTTTTTCTCCCTTGGAACTGTGCAGCCTGTTGTGACTTTTTGGCCTGTGTTTGGTTTTATCCCCTGCCCCCATTCAGACTGCTTTTCCGGATTCTGACTTCCCCTCACCTTGGTGGATTATGAAGACACTGTGCTCATACGTCGTTTTGACCGACAATTGCTGGGTGTTTCCTTGTAACCAAAATAACTTTATTCATGATGGTTGATGTCATTCATGACTGGGCTGAATCCTGGTAAAGAAGAGAGATCAACGCCCCCTAGCCCTCTACTCTGAAAAGTTCTCTCAGGGCCATACAGTGTCATAAATGCCCAACTTTATGATGGCTCCCTGTGTCCATTTCCAGTCCAATCTCTGGGTTTCAGAAGATGATTTCTTAAGTTTCCTTGTAAGGACAGGGGACCCGGAAAAGTCTCGGGGGAAGAGGGAAGGTACTGAGTCTGACCTGGATGATTCCCTTCGCTCTAATAGTGAGTCAGGGGATCCCGGTGCCGGTTCAGGGTGACTCACTCTGTCCTCTGGATGGTTTGTGACATGTGCATGGGCTCTTCTGTGATCACATTTGCTCCCGGGATGCACTTCTCTCCTCGGGTGCTCACCAAATGTTGGAGAATGTGCTTCATGCACGTCCTGTGGATAGCCCTTCCAGGCACCCAAGAGTGGAGACGGTTTTTATTCTCATTTTATAAAAGAGGACACTGAGGCTCAGAGAGCGACAGGGGCTGGCCTGAGACCAGGCAGCCAAAGGCCCAAGCCTCAAGCCTGGGTGTACGTGCCTGCTGGTCTTACCTGGCAGGCCCTCTAAGTGTTTCTGGAAGTCACCTACAGACCCAGGAGAGCAGCCAGGACCCCGGGACTCGGACACTAGGGCAGATACACAATGGGCGTTTGCAAAGTGACAGTCTCAGGCACTTGACCCCATTTTTGCATCTCTCTTTAAATCTTCTACACCAGCGGGAGCACCTTAAACTTAACTTCACTGTGTCTCTCTGCAGGTTCCTCCAAGCTCAAACGTCAGACTGACCACCCAGTCCTTTCGTGCATTCGCCCCTCGGGTAAGCCTTCCCTTACCAAACTGGGCAGATCAAAATCCCTAACCTGTGGGTAGAAGGAGAGGTGGGGGGGGGTGTTACTTTAGAACCTCTGTGTTCTTCTCAGCTTGGCCAAGACTTTGAAGCTGGTCAGGAGACCACCAGTGAGGGGATGCTGTTGGCATCGGAATACCCTTCCCTTGCCACAAGCACTCAGTGTGTGATCAGGGATACCTGAGAATCCCAAAGAACATCAGCCAGCATGTACCACGGAAGGGACCCTCATCAATAACACTGGTTAGGGAGTGAGGACTAAGAGGCAAACTTCTACAAAGGGACAAATTCCTCAAAAACAGTCAAGAGTATACAAAGGAGGGGGCCAGAGAGATAGTATAGAGATAGTACAGCGGGGAGGGAGTTTGCCTTGCACACAGCTGACCGGGTTGGATCCCTGGCATCCCATATGGTCCCCTGAGCACTGCCAGGAGTAATTCCTGAGTGCAGAGCCAGGAGTAACTCCTGGGCATCGCTGGGTGTGACCCCCCAAAAAGAAGAAAAAAAGAGTGTGCAGAGGGGTGGTGATTTTCCATGTTTCTCTCTCTCTCTCTCTCTCTCTCTCTCTCTCTCTCTCTCTCTCTCTCTCTCATTTTCCATTCCTGGTAGCCCTAAGGCCATTCCTAGTATCCTGGTATTTACTAAGGGGTTGCTCCTGGGTGGGTGGAGATTCAATACGGGTTCCTGCTCTTCTCCCAGCTGTTTGAGCTGTCTCCCCAGCCTGGCTGGGGTCAGGAGATGATTTTAATGGCAAGCCCTTGGAGATCATAAACTGGATCAGTTACAGTTCCCATGCTCAATGGAGCACAACACGACCTTGAATCGGCTGTACAGATGTCTCGGACCTGGAAAGATGGCCAGTTAGAATGCAAGAGGAAATGATGGAGAGCTCTGTGTAAATAAAACCAACTGAGAAGCACGCTTAGCTTTATAGGACTCCCTCCAAGACCTCCTGGAAAACCTCATCATCTCTTCATTCTGGCCCCAGTTAGCCAGGAAGTACCCCAACATGAACTTGGAACTTCAGGGAGCCTTGGCCTCCGCCCCGGTCCTGACCTTCAGTCCTGGAAATCTGTCTTTGGCGCCACAGATAGAGATTGAAGCTTTTGTGCTGCAGCCCAGCTCCGCCAAGGAGCCTGTCTTCCAGATCACTGTGGTGAGACTCAAAATCTCTGCAGATGCGCTCCCCTTTCCTGAATGCCTTTCCCCCAACTCAACTACCTGGCTAGAATTCATATTTCAATTTAAATATTGGTTTGTCTGGGAGGCCTTTCTTTTCTGCTCTCACCCCTGATCTATTCCTTTGTCATGTTTTCTTTTAGCACTCTATATATCTTTATTTATTTCATTTATTTATTTATTTATTTATTTTTTTGTCCCCAGCCAGTGGTGCTCAGGGCATATTCCCAATTCAGCACTCAGGGATCACTCCTGGTGGGCTTGGGGGCCCATATGGGATTCTGAGGATGAACCAAGGTCAGCTGCTTGCAAGGCAAGGACCCTATAGTATCTCTCAACCCTGTATTACTTTATTAATAGTCTTACCAGGACTGAAACTTGGTCCTGAGATAGCTAGAAACAATCCTTCCTTTTGGTAATCTGCTCAAAGCTGAACTGCTCTCAATAAAAATGTTCAAGCTCCAACATTTATTGAGCACCTATAGTGTTTTTTCTGGGATTTCACAGTCTAATCACATCCTTAACTCCCTGAACTATTTGTTTAGAGGAAACAACAGGCCCACACAGTTCTCCTTCCTGTATGTGGCAGTCTCCCTTATTTATTTGTTTGTTTAAATTAAATCACCATGGGGCTGGGAGTGAGTACAGGAGGTAGGGCATTTGCCTTGCATGCGGCCAACCTGGGTTTGATTCCCAGCATCCCATATGGTCCCCTGAGCACCGCCAGGAGTAATTCCTGAGTGCATAAACCAGGAGTAACCCCTATGCATCACCAGGTATGACCCAAAGAGCAAAAAATTAATTAATTAATTAACTAATTAAATCACCATGAGATACACAGTTACAAGGTTGTTCATAATTGGGTTTCAGTCATACAATGTTCCAATACCCATGCCTTCACCAGTATACATTTCCCACCACCGATGTCCCCAGTTTCCCTCCCACTACCCCACCTGCCCGCAGCACCCACCTTCCTCTATGGCAGGCAGTTCCTCACCCCCCTCTCTCTTTCCTTCAAGGCATTATGGTTTGCAATACAGGTATTGACAACTTTACCTACTTCTTTCAGCACTCAGTTCTTGTCCAGAGTGATCGTTTCCAACTATCATTGCCTTACTGGTCATTTCTCTGCCCTAACTGCCCTCCCCCTGCCCTTCCACTTGTGGCAAGTTTCCATCCGTGTCCATGGGTTTTAGTCTCATGCTTATTTTTATATCCCACAGATGTGTGCAATCATCCTATGTCTGTCTCTCCTTCTGACTCATTTCACTCAGCATGATGCTCTCCATGTCCATCCATCCGTTTATAAGCAAATTTCATGACTTTGTTTTTCTTGGGGGCAGCATAATATTCCATTGTGTAGATATGCCAGAGTTACTTTACCCAGTTGTCTGTCCGTGGGCCCTTGGGGTGTGTCAGATTCTCCGCCTCCCTTATTTAGATCCCTTCTTTCCTACTGGTGTTTCTAGGCCACTAATATCTCCGCCATGATGACCTTCAGTAACAACAAGATCACTGGGTTCCTGAAGCCAGGAAAGTAAGTCAGCCTCCCGCCACATGGGAGCGCTCTGCTGGGCTCCCAAACACTAACCAATCCTCTTCTGCTCAGCTTGTTCTTGGTTTCGGTGTGATGAGCTCCTCCTGCGAGTGTTGGGGAAAGAGACACAACTTGGAAAAGAAACTTGAACTTTATTTCGATCTCTCCAGTTCTTTGGCCTCCTCAGTACTGCCCCATCAACCTTTCCATCTAACTCTCATCACTACTTCTGGATTTCTGAAGTATTTTCTAACAGTGCTTTTTGTTTCATTTTTTGTTTTTTGTTTTGTTTTGTTTTTCCAGAAAATAAACTTTAGACATACTGATGATCTGAAATGACAGCTTACTCCTGAGCTCTTTTCTCGACCCTCCTTTCTCTGACACGCTTCCTGAAAAGGCTGTGTCATGCTGACTCCCCAGTCACCTGTGTCACTCCCACCACCACCCCAGAACCCCATTTGCTCTGTGTCTCCTCCTTGCTAGAATGCCACACTTTGCTTGGATGCAGCACCCAGCCATCTGATTCCTCCCCTGTTCCTTATAGAATACAACTGGAGCTGAAAGAATCCAAGGTCGGAGTATTTAATGTAAGTTGCTTTTATTTATGAATAGATTTGGGTATTAATGTTGGCTAGGCCCGACTGTGGCACCTGTAGAAAACAAAATTAAAAGAACTTCTCTCTGACCTTGAAACATACAGACTCTGCCCTCGAGGACAGGAAATAGGACCAAGGAACAGTTATGCCCCTATAAAAGACAATATATGTTAGAGTCTTGTTCTCTGCAGAATTCTCTTAGCTGCAAGGAATAAAAGCCAACACAGAGCTCATTGTACAGACAGGAGGAACATAGGAGCTCACCGAACTGGAAAACAAACATGAAAACCACTAAGACTTCAAGCATCGGTGCATCCAGGGACTTGAATCAGTGCACCGAGAGCCTCTCTCCAGGGCTCGGGAGATGGATGGCTCAAAGGGCTGGAGCATGTATTTAAAATGCAGGAGGCACCCGGCTCAATTCATGTTACTGCAGAGTCCCCAGAGCGTCACCGGGAATAGCCCCCAGCTCTGCGTGTTCTCAGCCATGTGTTGTCCCAAACAAAATATTAAAATTAATTTCATTTTTCTCTTCTCTACCATGCCCTTCACTGTTGATGCTGTTGCAGTGACTGGGATCTCACACCTGCCTGGCTGTGGTGCCAGCTGGCGTGCACACCAGTTTAAGGCTCTGACACGCCTGGCCACTGTGTTCACTGGGGCCACGCCTCCCCCCCCCCATGAGACACTCATGCATTGCTGGTTATGGGGCTTACCGGGGAACACTGTAGTGCTCATACACGTGCTGAGCTTCCTGGCTGGGCTTGCACTTAGTTTTGTTATGGAGCACTCTGGGGTCACTCCCCTTTGTTGCTTACACATGCCTGCTGTGATGTGACCAGAAATCACTGAGACACGGGGGATGGGGGAGTCGCAGGCAACAGAGCTGCCCTGGAGGGTGCTCAGCAGTGCGTGTGGCAGATGCAGGGATCGAACTCATGACCACACCCTTACAAGACAGCCCATCTAAACCATGGAGCGACTTAGCCATGACACGAGTTCCAAGTCTTGCTCTGGGACCCAGGAGTCACTCCTTGCAATACTTCACCAACCGGGCAGGTTGACTCGAGCCAGGGCTGGATGATATAGGGCTGATGGTGCTCAGGACCTTTAGGGCTATGCCTAGTGATGCTCAGGGGGCCACTCAGTGTAAATCGGGGTCACCAACACTGTGCTATCTTCTCAATGCCTCATTTCATTTCATTTAAAATAATATATAAGAAATTCCTGGGCTAGCTCTCATTGGATTCACCTTGGTCACGTATCTTTGTTTGGTTGGTGTTTTTGGTTTGAGGGCCACACCCAGTGATGCTCAGGGCTTACTTCTGGCTCTGTGCTCAGGAATCACTGCTGGCTGGCTCAGGGGACCATATGTGGTGGTTGGGGATCAAACCCAGGTCAACTGCTTGCAAGGCAAGTGCCTACCTGCTGTACCATCTCCCTGTCCTCACATGTCCATTTTTGAACCAATCACAATATCCAGAAATTGGACAAGACTCATCAGTCTTGAAACTCAACCCTGGGTTTCACCGCACACTCTGGGAACCCCAGCTGTGCAGGAGTAAGATGGGAAGGGAGCTTCCCCAGAATGTCCAGCCGTTGTCTTGGGAGACAGAACATGAGCCAAGCATGTGTGAGGCCTCGGGTTCCATCCACAGCACCACAAGGCGTGGCCACTATAAAAACAAAAATGATGCCAGGGAGAGAGCTCAAGGGTCTGAGCCCCCCATGCTCTGCATGCGGGAATCCTAGGTTTCATTCCTGAGCACTGCACAGCTCCCCCAAGCCCTTCTTAGAGTGATTCCCCAAGCACTGAACAGGGATTAGCCCCCAACTGCACCTTAGTATGGTCCAGAAATCAAAAAAGGGAAAAAGACTTGAGAAAACATGTCTATTAGGTTGGGAGGGAGGGGGCATGGGGTCCCAGGGATCGAACCCAGGTCTTTGCCCATGGGTGGAATTTATTCTAGTACTTGAGACAATCCCTGCACCCCACATTTTTGTTCTGACTGAATTTTTTAAAATAAATAACTAATTTATTGGGTTTTTTTGTTTGTTTTTGAGCCAGACCTGGCAGTGCTCAAGGCTTACTCCTGATTCTGCTCAGGGATCACTCCTGATGGTCCTTGGGGACCATCTGTGATACTGGGAATCGAACTTGGGTCAGCCTCACGCAAGGCAAGAGCCCTACCCGCTGTGGTGCTATCTCTCCAGCTTAGACAAATAATCGAAGGGCTTGGAGACATGGCTCAACAACCAAAAAGTCCCTTGCATGCAGGTGACCTGCATTTGATCCCTGGGATGACAAATATACAACACAAAATGGGGGTGGGGGAAGAACAAGTCACTGAGGGAATCCTTCTCACAGAGAAAAAGGCTAATGTCAATAATAAAGCTAAATGAAGCCTTGATGCCCAACTCACCCCCCACAGGAGACAGTGGCTGTGGATTCTTCCCTAGCTCTTTCATCTGTGTCCCTTGAAATAGTTGTTGGGTATCTACCTGTAAACTGCCATTTTCAAGTCTTTGAGAGAAGTACAGACTGTCCTATAGATATTTGCTGTGTGGGGCTTTGGGGTGACATCGAGGGCTCATGTGACCACAGTGGACCCTAAAATCCCCTGTCCTCTGCCAGGTGGACTTTCTGGAGGCGCTGCTCAACTACTACATTCTCAACACTCTCTACCCCAGAGTCAATGGTAAGAATAAGGATGGATTTTCCCAAGTCAGGAAGTAGACGCTGCTCCTTGGCTGAAAGCAAACAACAGAGCTGGGGGGCCAGGGTCCCTCTGTAGACTGTGTGACCTTGGACCAGTCCCTGCACCTCTCAGAGAGCCAGTGGCTTTTCTGTGAGATGAAAGTATCAGAATCAGCCTTGTTTCACTTGCAGACTCTAATGAGGGGTTGGGCCAAGGCAGTTCTTTGAAAAACAAGAATCCTCCCAGATTCCCTGAGGGGCCCAGTCCCTGGACTGGCAGACGATTCGATGTGGAGGGGCCCAGGCAGCCCAGCTTTGAACTCACAATCCCAGCTGTGAATTCCAACAGAAAGCACGAAGACTTTCGCCGTGTGTTTGCAGGGCCCCTTCATCGGCTGCAGTAGAGAGAGGGAAGGGCGGGGCAGAGAGGGTTTTCCATGACCCCAACCCCAAGGGCCTGCTGGCCCATGCCTGCTGCCTCCTCCAGGCAGCGCCAGGCAGAGCCCTGACTCCTGGGCTGGGAATGAAGCTTGGGGTCATTTTTATTTGTTAACAAGTCTCTATCTGTATTGTGCCTCAACCTCCAGAGAAGCTGGCAGAAGGCTTCCTCCTCCCTCTGCTAAACCACATTCAGCTCGATGACCTTGTCCTTCATATCCACAAGGTCAGTGGTTGGGGGGGGGTGCTTGAGGGTTGGGGAGGGGTGGGTGAACTTCCTGGGGCCAGAGGCTCCCTATGGGAGGCTGGGAGTCAGTTCCATCCTGCATCTGACACAACCTGGCCGCAGAGGGATGCTCTGGCACCACCAGATACCATAAAGCCACCCATAAGGGCTTTGGAAGCCACATGCAGCCCATTGCAATACAGCGAAGTCACATTTCCCAACCACAAATGGAGACAAGACAAGATCTTTCTTTTGTGTGTGTGTGTGACACCCAGTAGTGCTCAGGGCTTTATTCCTGACTCTGTACTCAGGGATCATTCCTGACGGGGCTAGGGGACCATATGGGGTACTGGGGATTGAACCCAGGTTGGCTATGTGCAAGGCAAGTGCCCTACCCACTGTGCTATCACTCTGACCCCAAGCCAGCTTAATCTGAGAACCCTATTAGATTTCTCTACAGGTCCAATCCTGAAAGTCCTTTGTTAAGTTCTTTCAGTTTCTTCTAAATTTTGTATTCACGAATCACGACCATCCTGTTATTCGTCAATTGCCTTGAGCAGGCCCCAGTAACGTCTCCTTCATCCTAACCCTGAGATTATATTCAAGGCTCTTTAGGAGAATGAAACCCATCATTGTTATTGGTATTTGGCATATTGGATACGCCACGGGGAGTTTGCCAGACTCTGCCGTGTGAGCAGGCTACATTCGGTAGCCTGCCAGTTTGTCCAAAGTAGGAATGAGATAATAAGATGTTGTAATAAGATGGCGCATTTGCGGCCGCGCGGTTCCGGGAGCTGGTTTTTATAGTCTCTGAGTCTTGGCCATTGATGGGATTACACGGCGCCAGGGGGCCAGTTGGTGGGTGTGACCCCCGCCTACTGGAATTCGGAGGATCTGGGTGGAGGATGCTCAGCTCCGATCCGAGTAGGCTTGGAGATCTCGGCCCCGGGTCCCGCTTGCCTTTGTTCCTCTGCCGGTACCCTCAGGTGTGCGGAGAGTGGTCTCAGCATGGTGGTGGCTGGTCCTGGAGGTCTTCGGCTGCCAGAGCCCTGGTCGGGGCGGGGAGGAAAGCTGAATAATGTATTTATTCAGTGAAATACTATATCACAGTGAAAAATCACAACTACACAAAGTGTTAGAAAATATCTTGTCTTAGAAACTGAATCATCTTAGTTAGAAAATTTAAACTGAAACAGGAAAACTGCCCAGAGGAATAGTACAAATAATGTCATTTCATATTTCTATGTGTACGTGAGTGTGTGACTATAAAGATTATATCCAAAAATGGTGTGGGGTGAACACAAAATTCAAGATCACAATTTCCTGGGGCAGAATAAAGAGACAGAAAAGCATATTGGTGCCTCTCAGCTAGTAATAAGTGTCCAGTCCTCAACTGATGGGGGGTTCAAGGTGCTCATGACATTATTTTCAAAGCCTTCAAAATAAACAAGTTTATAAATCATGAGTTTCCTCCTGCGTTCTAAAATGCCAGAGTTGTATTTATAATACCTATCTAAGCAAGATATTGCTTTTTTATATACAGTTTTGAAATTATTCATCAACTTGTGGCCCTAATATATCCAGAGTTTATGTTTTGGGACTCTCCAGAGAGTCACTCCTTTTCCCCTTGAAGCATTTAAAACATTTTTGGTTGTTTTGGAAAATCTGCATCACCAATGCTCATACCTGTCTTTTCTTTCTTACTTTCTTTCTCTCTTTCTCTTTCTCTCTTTCTCTCTTCCTTCCTCCCTCCCTCCCTCCCTCTCTCTCTCTCTTTCTCCCTTCCTTCTTTCCTTCCTTCCTTCCTTCCTTCCTTCCTTCCTTCCTTCCTTCATTGTTAAATTGAACATCATCTCTTAGGTTTGATGCAGCCTAACACCTGCCCTATGAGAAATCCGGGGCATCCTTTAGATGGGTCACCATTTTCTTGACTACTGAAGTACGACAGGTCAGGTTTTGCATGGAACTTCTTCTATTAAGCATTTTATGGTCCACCCATGCCCACAATTCAGATTTTCTGTGAAGACAGCATCTCTAAGTTGGGATGATTGGGTGGAAGGACTTGTGAGCTTTAAAGGAGATGCTTTTGGTGCCATCATCACCTGTAAATTACAGCTGCTAAAGAATAAAGGGCAGCAGAGTGGGTCAGACGTGTGAAAAACAGGGCCAGAGAGATGGTTGAGCAGGTAGGTTGCTTGCCTTGCACACAACCAACCCAGGTTCAATAACCCACACCACGTACCCTGAGCACCTCTTAGAGTTATCCCTGAGTACAGAACCAGGAATAAACCCTGCACACAGCCAGATCTGACTGAGTAAGTAAATAAATAGAAATATCTAAGAGCTGGAGTGATAGTACAGCCGGTAAGACACTTGCCTTGCATGGATGGAACGCAGCTCCACCCAACACTGTCAGGAAGTCAGGAATGATCCATGAATACAGAAATAAAGTTACAGTGAGTTTCCAAGAACCTCTTGGGCTTTGGTGCACTCTATAAACAAATGAACAAACAAATCAGCCCAAAGTCCCTGAGGCCAGAGATGTCAATACCTACGAAGTGCTGATGTTCCCAAAGACTCACATTATCATTCAGAGCACCAAGTGATGACACTTCCTAAAATTTGCACCAAGTGATGACACTTCCTAAAATTTGCCTGTTTTGTCCTGTGCAAAATGGGGTATGGTCCAACTGATCCGGGCTCTGAGGAGCACAGAGGGCTGCTCTGAAACCGCCTCTCTGAGTCTGGCCCATGGCAAGGGATTGGGGCTCTGTTGCATCTTGTCAAATGCATGAGTGTTTCGAGGTCAAGTCTGTCCGTTTCAATGTCAGGGGCTGAATCGGTGAGGGGCCAAAATCAGACTGTGCCTTGGGTTGGGAATCCCCACCCTCCGGGTGATGAAAACTTAGGAGGGGGAGAAGAGGGAAGCAGAGCAACTCAGATTTTGCTCTCCGTGCCAAGGAGAGAACATTTAGGTGACCCAACGGACGTTTATGAAGCCTGCCAGGAAGCAGCAGCTTGGGAAATGACAGATAAATTGCTACCTTAGAGAAGGTAGTTGGCAAGCGCTGTGTTTTATGGAGACCTTGGGGATGCAGGCAGGCTGGTGATTTATGCGCTGCCCTGGTTTCCGGCAGAGCTTGTGTTTCCGAGACGTGACCCTCCTTTGAAAGCTGAGATGCGCTGCCTTGGGCCAGGGGGGCCTCTTCACCAGCCTGTTCTATCCTGTCTCCTAGGACTTCCTGTCCTTGGGCGCCAATGTCCAGTACTTGAAAGACTGAGGCCGAGGAGGCAGAGCGGCGTTTGGAAGTCACCGTTGGATCAGCAAGTTGCATCTCTAGATGCACCGCCGAGTCCCAGAGGTTTGGGCAGGAAGAAGACAGCTTTGCTCTGTCTTCTGCTCTCTGCCCCTCCCGCCCCTCTTCCAGCTGGCACAAGCACCCCCTCTCTGGCTTGGACTTCATTCTCTCTCTACCCCCACTGGCCTGTAATAGCTATAGTGGGGGGGGGAGACACACCATATGTTCTTATTCCCCTTGGAGCCTGTCACCTAGCAGGCCACTGGCCCTTAGTAGGATAGCACTGTAGCACTGTCCTCCCGTTGTTCATCGATTTGCTCGAGCGGGCACCAGTAACTTCTCCATTGTGAGATTTGTTGTTACTGTTTTTGGCATATCAAATACAATACAGGTAGCTTGCCAGGCTCTACCATGCAGGCGGGGTAGTCTCGGTAGCTTGTGGGGCTCTCCGAGAGGGATGGAGGAATCGAACCCAGGTCAGCTGCGTGCAAGGCAACTGCCCTACCTGCTGTTGCTATTGTTCCACCCTTAGTAGGGTACCAATAAATATTTGTTTCTGGATCAATGAAGGAGTTACCTGGTACCATTCTTTCTGCCTATGGGATCTTTGGGTGGTCAGCCCTATTGGTGGCCTCCAGCACACAGCTCTGACCAGCCTCTCCTTTCTCATGCGTTATCATGGAAATGCATCAGTGAGAAACAAGGAATTCCGCTCCCCATCCAGCCCTGGCCCAGACCTAGGCCTCAAAGGCACTCAGTCTTGGGGCTCAATCTGTTGGGGGTCCCTCCCTCCCTTCTTGCTGACTGCAGACGTGAATCTCCCCCCCTGCTGCTTTATCCCATTGCAACAGGTGGAAATTAACAGGAAATGGCTCCATCTAGGATTTGGGTCCAACCCAAATCAAAAGCTTATCCAACTGTTGTTTATGGGCCCCAAGCCTGGAGGACGAGGCCATGATTTCTAATTACTGAACAGTCAGCCTTTGATTAGACTTAATAAGGAGTCTTTTCCAAGTTATGGCACTGGGCCCCCTGGGGACTGGGAATCAGAAGGCTTATTTGATTTTTTTTTAATGTGCTAATAAGCAGATGGATGGAGCTTCTGGCTTACAGATAATTCACAGGGAATAGACCCATTTACCCGGGTGTGACAGAAACGCATTCTGGGACGAAACGCTGCACTATCACCCAGCTGGCTGCCGGGCAGACCCCGGCGTTACCTCCCCCCTGTTCTTGCCCTGTGTTCACTGGTCTGTTGTCCAGCCCTGGGGTGGACATGCAGAGGACTCAGTACTAACCACTCAGTGGCTTCGGGCTGGTCCCCTTTCCCCAGTGTCTCCTCATCTATGACATCAGACGAGAATCACAACAACTGCTCCCCATGGTTGTGGTATTAGGGAATTCGTGGAAAGAGTTTATTGAGCCAAGGTGGGTGCTCATGGTCCCGTAGCCAGGAATGCTGACTGAGTCCAATTTCAGGTCCTGGGCTGCCCGGAAGAGGGCAGGAGAGGAGCCCAGAACCCAACCCAGTCCTGCTTCAAGGACAGAGCGCACAGCTTCAATTCCAATAGACTTGTTTTGGGGCCTCACTCTCCCATCAGAGGTGACCCCTGCAGGGCCTCTGGGTGCTCCACGGGTCCCTGCAAAGCTTCTGGGGTGCCCGGAGCAGAAACGGCCAAGAGCAGGTCCGATTATCACTTGTCTCAGGGCTCCCTAGAGGAGAGGCTGAGACAAGACAACGGGTAGTTTATTTGGAAGATAATTACGAAGGCGCAAACAGGCCCCTCTCTGCTCCTCTCACTTTGGCTGGTGGCACCTTTTAGCAGCTTCTCAGCCCCTGGCAGCTTGGTTCTGTCTCCAGAGCAGCTGAGCTCTTTCTTGCCAATAAATAGTTTTTCTTTTTTTCTTTTTTATTGCATCACTGTGAGATAGACCCTTACAAAGCTGTTCATGATTAAGTTTCAGTCGTATAGCGTTCCACCACCCATCCCTCCACCAGTGTACATTTCTCAGCACCAGTGTCCCCAGGTTCCCTCCCATCACCCCCTACGTCCCAGTCTGCCTGTATGGCAGGTTCTCTCTCTCTCTCTCTCTCTCTCTCTCTCTCTCTCTCTCTCTCTCTCTCTCTCTCTCTCTCTCTCACACACACACACACACACACACTCTCATACATAGTCTCTGTCTGTCTGTCTCTCTCTCTTTCTCTTTTTCTCCCTCTCCCCCTTCCTTTTGGGCATTGTGGTTCGCAGTGCCAATACCAAAAGGTCATCAGCTATATCCTTTTATACCTACTTTTAACTCTCATTCCTGTCCAGCATAATTTCCAGCTATTGTCAATGCATAGTTTTTAAATGACTGTCTCTATCCATGCATCACTTATTTTTTAACAGTAGCTCTTTATTGATAACCATGTATACCAGAATTAGGAAAAAAATTAGATTATTTTTTCTACTGCACCAAGGTTTGAGCCTTTTAACTGTAGCAGTTAGTGGAATCATCTAATACAAAAAGTTGAGCTGACTTTACTTAGAACGAGCCTAAGAGTACACAAAAAAATAAATGCCCAAACCTGTCAGTTTCTGTAGATGGAAAATGGCAGCTTCAGGCCAGGGAAGGGTTTCTGAGGGGAGACCTCTGAGCGCTGCCCAGTAGAGAGTCAGAACATTGAAACAAATCTAACCCATATTTGAAAACATTTTTCAAATACAAGGCATGTAAACATTGTTCTTTGCACAAACTTTTTCCTCTCTAGTTTAATATCTCAAATTTAAGTAGCCTTTTGTTACAAAAACAAACCAATAAAAACCCCCAAACAACCCCAAAAGACAATATTTTTCTCAGAATATTCATTATATATTTACTTGTGGACTTTTATGTTTTCATGAAATGCCTTGCCCCAGGACTTTTTAGGGGGTTGTTGTTGAGCTCAACCTAGCGGTTCTCGAGGTCACTCCCTGCAGTACTCAGGGGGGTGCCTGGGCTGGACTTAGGGCTCCCGAGGCACATCCCGGGAAGCTTAGGGCCCCCGAAACTGTACCCCGTTGTGCTAGGATGGGGGGCATGAGGTGTGGGGATGGCACTCAGAACTTGGGCCAAATTCCATCAGTCAAAGATATTCCTCTGCAAAATCAGTTCGCAATGGAGCAAGTGCCAAATCTCCTCTTTCACACTGGCCCCTCTGAGGTGTCCCCAGGGTCCACAGCAGAGGGGGTTCATGGAGAGCAAACCTTGCTCAAGGACACAGGTCCCCCATGGTTTGGTGTCCCTGTCTAGCTCACAAGAGTGTCTGTCCCAGCCTGGGGGCTCTGGGCCTCAGCTCAAGTGTTGCCATAGAGTGGGGTGGGGGTGACATGGGTCATCTGGATCTGTAGGGCCCCCATAGGCTCGACACTGACCATCTATATGGCCTACAGAGATAGCCCTGGACCCCAGAGCCTAGGGGAATTTCCCAGGGGGCAGTACCTCATGTTCATTGTCACATGACTGCAGGAGATGTGAGGGCCTCAGACTCTAAGGGCAGATCTGCAGATGCTCTGGGCTCCCAATATCCATGGTCTCTGCCCTTCAGACAGAGCCCTGGGCTGATTTCCTTTCTTTCCTTTTTCTTTTTTATTTGTTTTGGTCACACCCAGCAATGCGCAGGAGTTATTTACTGCTGGCACTGCACTCAGGAATTACTCCTGGCGGTTCTGCTGGGGGGACCATATGGGATGCTGGGGATGGAGCCCAGGTTGGCCACGTATGAGGCAAACACCCTACCCGCAGTACTATCGCTTTGGCCCCAAATTGTCATCAGCCTCTTTTTCCTCTCACCCTCTGTAACCAGAAATGTAACAGCATTCCCTCAGTTCTCCTAGTGAATCATGGAATTTACCAGAGGTAAATTTGGGGACCCTCAAGCTTACAACCAGACGTGCAGTCTGTTCAGCCTCCAACTTCACCAGGGGTCTTCTGTGTGCTCGTTTCTCCCATCACTGGACACATTGCTGGCTTCAGACACTCACCCTGGGGCCATTGTCACTTGAGATCTGTCCTGTATGGCCTGACCAGGCCAGGATTACCACAGCCCCAGAGCCCCACCCCCACCCCCAGTCTGCTCTTGTCAGGCCCCTGAGAGCAGATTGCAGAGTCCACCCTGGAATAAGTGAAGAGGGGGCTTTCAGACTCCAGCCTCAGACCTGAGCCCCCATGGGCGTTAGTTGATTCCTCTTGAAATTCCAGCCAACCCCCTAATTTCAAGGCTTATGTCATTTTGAACTAACTGAATTGGGAAGGACAGGGGTGGGTGGGAAAGTGAGAGGACTGGATCTGGATCAGACGACAAAGGAAACTAAAATCCCATCCCCAGGAATTGGGGTATAATTCCCACGCGCCCCCCCCCCCCGCCACCTCTCCACCCCTCCCCTGGGGCCCTCTTCTCCCCACCCTGAGAGGAGCACTGTTCACAAAGTACAGCCGAACAGACGGAGTTTTATGAGCCAGAAGGAACCGATTCCCCACCTGGGGCCACTGAAGAAGGCAGGGTTGGACTCAGAACTTCCCTTCGAGAAGCCTTTCCTCGCCCCTCAAGTGAGCTCCTGGGGCCCCTTGTGCAGACCAATCATCAGAAACCCCACGGCGGGGGGTGAGCTGCCCCCACTGCAATCTCTAAGCAGTTCTCCTACGGTACCTCGGGGAACTTTCCTGCTGTCATTACTTTCAGATATTCCATTTACACATTTGTTCTTGCTTGTTTGGTTTGGGGTTCTTCCTCACCCAGCAGTGCTCAGGCCTTACCCTTGGCTCTGCACTGAGGGATCACTCCTGGCAACGCTCAGGGAACCTCTGCAGTGCCAGGGAGCTGATGATACGGGTTAACGGTGTACAAGGCAAACATCCTGCCCCTCTACTATCTTTCTGCCCTACATCACTGTTTTTGGTCCCATCAATTACTCTTGGCTTCTCTTCACTCTCTGTGTGATCTAGGACTTAACTGAGCCTGGTTTCTTCTGATAAAGAAGCAGCTGTGGACGCTTCTAACAGGATAGTTATCCGGGCTCCCTTTTCTCTTCCCGGCACACAGCCCTTCTCAGTAAGATGTGTCCAGGTGGCCGAGTTTCTGCAAACAGAAGTGGGTCCCAGTGAAGCAAGCTCCTCTAGGCAGGGGCCACAAACACCCCTGGGTCATTCTCATTTTCTTCTGCCCTTGTCCTCTTGCCCAGCTATACTTTGACAACGTGAGCTGAGACCAACGTGTCTATGGCTTCAGCGAGTCCAGCAGCCTGAATCCCTGAATGAGGTCTCCTTATGCGGGAACCTCACAGCAGAATTAACCACTGTTGGGGCTGGAGTGATAGTATAGTGGGTCGGGCACTTGCCTTGCATGCAGCCAACCCAGTTTCAATTCCCAGCATCCCATATGGTCCCCCAAGCTCCGCCAGGAGTAATTTCCGGGTGCAAAGCCAGGAGTAGCCCCTGAGCACTGCTGGGTGTGACCCAAAAAGAAGAAGAAGGAAAAAAAAAAAGAATTAACCATTTAGGCTCAGATTGGGGGATGGACCATTGCAGATACGAGTATTGGCTTCT